TGGCTCTTGAGAAGCCGCAGTTTCTTGAGAAGCAGCAGACGATACTTGAAAACCAGAAGGCGGCGATTGGTGAAGAAACGCCCATGGTTGACATCTTGAAGGCTCGTTGAGTGCGCCGCCCACGGCGCACTGCCCGCCGCTCATCATGCCGGCGGCACTCCCGCTGCTGCTGCTCCCTTGCGGCATCATCACCATGCCGCATTCTGCCAGCGCCACTGGTGGTTCCAGCCAATGGTGATTTGCATGATAGGAACCGAGCTCGCATGGAGCCATGGCCAACCGAGGACTCTCCAAGAGTTGATGAGAAGGCGAGTTCTCCACAGTAGTAAGAAAGAGGCTTGGTAACATGGGATTCCCCTAGAGGTGGCTCTCTGAATGGCAGTGGGATGAGCTGCAGTGGAGGGAGGAGCGGCGGCTTTGGTGCATTCGAGCAAAGGAGTGGAGGGAGCAATAACGCTTCAAGGCGCCTCTAGGACCATCTGAACGACCATGAGCTGATCTGCAGCGGAGGGAGGAACGCGGCTTTGCGTAAATCAGCCAAGGAGAGCACGGATTATCAAAACTGGTTCGAATTCGAGAACTGCTCGAGCCTTATCCAAACTCCGGGCGGGATAGCGGCGATGCTCAAGACTTGAGGCGAAGGACTCGGGAAGGGAGGCCTGGGAAATGATAGGAACTTCGTTGGAAGATTCGCGTTCATCCTTGGTACTACTAGGAGCAACATGAGGGACTGCTTACAAACCTCCGTTTCAAGCCACTCGCCGCTCGTGCGTGAAGGCGCCCCTTGATTGATCTATCCATCCCCCAACTCTAAGATACGAGAGAACAGGCCAAGTTTCCTCGAATCTAGGCGGATCAGACAGAGATATGTGAAAGCAGTGTTGAGTACAGAAACAGTGTGAGAGAAATGGGAGAAGACGAGCACAGCTAGGGGCTACCAGAGGCGCGCACAAGCCACCAGAAGCTGCCTACTACCCAGAGACTGGCAACAGGAGCATGGCAACAGGAGATTAGCAACAGGCGATTAGCAACAGGCCATAGCAGTGCGCGCGACATGGTGCGGCATTCCTGGAATGGCGGCGCTTTTGAATCTAGTCTAGAGCGCAGGACCCTTGGCTTTTGAGCCTGGAAAGCACAACCTCATTCTCTCGCTCCATGTGATGGTCAGAAGGCGACGACCAATGGCAATGGCGTGCGTCCCTTAGCTAGCATCACCCTGTGATGGTGTTGAGATCGGGGTGGGGTGGGGAGAGTAGTGGTCAGAGAGTGACGTAACGACGCTCATCTGAGCTGTATCCCTATCCGTGGATGCACCAATGGCGTGCGTCCCAGAGCTAGCATCACCCTGTCATGGTGTTGCGATCAGGGTGGGGTGGGGAGTGATGCTCAAATGAGCGGCATTCCCCATCCATGACGGTACCATCCCAAGGCTGGCAATCCCAATCCCGTTGAGATCACTAGATCCCTTTCGAGGCGCCTGACAAGCTCTTCAAGGCAGCTGACTCAGCTCGGAGCTGTCCGTGGATGCACCAATCATGGCGTCTACTGCAGTACCATCCAGGGCTGGATCAAATAGCGTTGAGATCCGGTTCAAGTTGAACTTGGAGATGAAGAAGTGGCGAACGGATGACCTGTCAGGGAGGCTGTATCCTTTCCGATAGCTGGCATGGCGTTGCTTTTATCCACAGGATCATCGCTGCGATTCGCGCTTCACGTGAAAGGAAGCCCTCAATTTCGCCTATTTTATATTTTTTTTGTTCGACTCAAAAATCGACCTCCGCGTCAAATCGAACACTGTCGCTGAGTGTCATAGGGTTTCATTCGACCGTCGACCGGACAGCACGAGAGGTCGTTGAGGCGTCGCAAGAGGGTTTCATTCGAGTCGAGACGTCTCAAAATAGAATTCTGCGACACGTCTCAAAAGTCTGCACTGCACTTCACGTCAGCACTCCACGTGATAGGAGGCACTTCACGTAGGTGAGCTGTCCGACAGTACGATATGGTCCGATCCGACAAGCGAACAACTCGGAACGCTTTCTAACGATCCAAGCGCTTTCTGTTGGAAAAAGGGCGCTCGTGGTCGTCCTTCTCCTCCTCCTCATCCTCCTCCTCCACATCCTCCTCCGCCTGCCCTCTTCTCACTCGCAGTCGCCGTTCGTGTGTTGAACGGTCTACAGTCGATGGGCTTGCTGTACACTCGTGCGTACAGTGCATGCATTTTCAACCAATCTAAGGCGTATTCTTATATACTGGTCATCCCGCCTTCATGTCATACGAAATTGAAGGACCCAATCGAAAAAATCAAATATCGAACCGCGGGCTTTTTGATTGGCTCCCACAATTTCGGATGACACAAACAATGGATGACCCGAAGCTAGAAATACGCCCTCATAAAATCAGGGTTGCAAGTCAGAGCGGCGATCCTTCTGAGGCCAAGGCAGACATTCGACGTGGCCACGTTACATGATTCAACACCGCGTTGACTCAGCAAGGGCACATGTGGCGGGAAAATAGTGGATTCTGCCCTCGCGCTAGTACTAGGGTACCCCTTGCTCGACGCTATCGCCTAGTCTATCGCCAGACCCTTGAGTCCCTCAAGCTGAACCCTAGGCACGTAGTAAACTGGCATTCCTGGAAGGCTGTTGCAATATTGTACAACGTCCACGACTTTTTTTAGATGGAAAATGTCATTCACTGAAGCAAACAACCTCCAGAGGTGAGGCTATCAGTCTAGACCGAGTCATTTGGACAAAATCTATTTCGCGAACTGACCGTAACCAACCAGATGTGCAGTGTTGGTTACAAAAATAAATCGGCTCCTGCACATCTCACAGAAAGATCGTTGGGATTGGAAGGAACGCCTGAGGCTTCGACAAGAAGCATGCCGTGCAGCACGTGACGGGAGGGAGCCTATTGCTGGTGCAGTACAGGCCCTTGCGTCACCACAACCCTGAGGCTGCGACTAGTACAAGCACCCTACGCTGTCCCACAGCACCCTACAGCATCCCATCCCATCCCATTCATCTGGTTTATGAGACAGAACATCCATCCATTCCCTCCTGTCCCGGCTTCCATACCTTCTCACCAGGGCCGATTTTTCGTTTTTGAAGATCCGGCCGGATGCCTCCTGGGCCCCCACGTAAACGTACGTAAAAATTCGGATCCGTAGAAATTTTAACCTTTCCGAGCCGGATTCCAACAAGCGGTACCTTGAGTCAGTGTGTTTTTAAGAACTAGCCTCCGGTCTATCGACTCGTCAGTGCTGTGAAGTACAAGTGACGAACACAGGTAAAGTGAAGAAAAAGTCCTCGAAGAAAGCACTTCCATCCACTCAGGGCCACCTCATCCATCCTGAAAGATCTCACACTCAAACAGGGCTAAACATCCCTCATAATGAGACTTGTGCGAAAACCACGAGTAATGTTAAGTTGCAGATTTTTGTTTTGCACTGCACTGTTATGTTAATCCTCCAGGGACGCGACCTATCAAATCCGGCACGAAGGTTTTCGGGAAACACACTTAAGCGTCCGGACTTTTCTAGAAATACCCTTTGAATGTCTGGAATATCTGGAAGTCATTCCCCTCAAAATCCGGATCTCGGACAAAAACATCAGGAATGTTGAGGAAATTCCGGATCAGGCCTGTCGCTTGCAGGGCGTTTGCCCTGCTGGACCTTGAATTCCAGGGCTGGGTTTCCCTTGAAAACTGAAATTGATGGGTTGAGAAAATTGTGGCCCTGATTCATTACAGGGCTGATTTCGGCCTTAGGTCTGGAGTGTTAAGGGTAGATTTTAGGCGAGCCCTGGAACAAGTCTTTCGAACTCCCTCCCACTCCTCCCCCCCCCCTCCCCCCCCCAAACTCCCCCATTCCCCCTCCCCCCGTTTCTATTTTGATTGCATTCAAGCCTGTCAAATTTGGAGTTGCGTGGCTGGACCACAGATTCAACTCAACCAACAACTGGTACTTGTACCAATTACAACCCGCTCCCATCCCATGACACACAGACAGTAGCATGAACCAACATGTAGCAGCAAAACACATCTCAGATCCCCGTCATGTTGTGCACCCTCAGGCCTGAATGGGAATAGCAAGCAGCAAAACACATCTCAGATCTTTGCTAAGAGTTGGAAGAGGAGGAAGTCTGTTACGCGTGCGTAGTGAATGACGCTAACTAGTTTTTTTATTGCTAACTAGCTAATTTGATACTAGCGGAGTGCAGCTGTCAGCTTTGTGGTAGAACTGAGGCTGCAGAATTTTCCGCGGCAAACCTGATTTACAGGGAGGAATAAATTTCAGCCCTGAAGCCTGAAGGGCCGAGATTCGCCCCGACCCTGCTAAATACAGGGTCGTACATGCCGGGCCCCCTGATTTGTCCGGGGGGGCCAAAACGAAACGACAGCCCTGTTCCGGATGTGCACCCTGCTAGCGTGAGCCCTGCTTCTCACTTAAGCTTCCGAGTCAACCGCCAGCACGGTTTCCCCAACGGCCCTCACTGCCTGTGGGGCGCGCTGAGGCTAGCTCGATTAGCGAGTTTCAAAGCGGTAACAAACGATCCGGAACGTTAAGCTAGATATTAAATGCGGCGGAGGCACTTCCCTTGAGCTTCGGGATTGTCGCTCACACACTAATCATTGGTTGGAGAGTGGGTTCGGGGCTGACGAAGATGGAGGTTCGGAGGTTTGCGAACGCGCACAATGCTTTCGCATAAGCTAATTCGCAAAAACATGATAACTGCGCCTGCCAAACTTTTCCTGCCAATATTACGCAATGCTGTTCTGAATACAATTATTTTGTAATACCATAAGATTAATGTGTTTCTCAGTCACCTACTCATCAATGAATAACCTGCCAATTGCAGGTACGTGTGGGCAAGCTTGCATCACATCTTTATTGAACGTGGAAACAAAATATGCTTCCAGCCATATATTTCTGCTGACTAATGGACGACTCGCTCTAGCCTAGAGCAAACGCGTGGTGCGCCATTGCGAAGAGGTTCAGGCTACAACTGTTCTTGTGGTGCTGATGGTGCTGCCGCTGCTGCCGCTGCAGGCTCTGCTACGGACTCCACTACAGGCGGCGGCGGTGGTTGCATGGCTGTAGCGGCACCTTGCAGCCATGCCGCTACAGCCATGGCTCCGGGATCAGGCACTGATGCCAACACCTCTGCTGGTACATAACTGGACCTGCCAGCCTGAAGAAGAGAACCATATGGATGGATTCAATAACCATGCAGTGTTGATTGAATAACAGTGTTTAAAGATTCACAGATTGTTCAATTCAATGATTCGTCATTCAATCATGCCGTGCATGGATAATGGGTTGCACAATAAGATTGATTTCTTAGGTCAGGGCAGCAATGCCGTGCCAACACCATTTCCCACACGTTGGTGGAGCTGCTAATCTATAGTGAGGAAAGAAAAATGACAGTAGACAAGAGCTAGCATCGACTTGGTTGACTCACCAGAGCTGGCATTGACTTGGTTGATTCGGCTCCGGCAGCAGCAGCCTGAGCAGCAGCAGCCAGCGCGGCCGCTGCTGACTCCCCTGCTGTGATGCTGCGAGAGAGAGAGGCAGCGGCGGGCAGCAGAGCATCCAGCATGGTGCGGTAGCCCGCTTGAGCACCGCCGTACAGACTCACCGCTGCCACCGCCGCCTCAAATGCAGCCGCCCCTGGTGATAGGGTGGATGTAGATACAGGGGTGGGGGTGGGTAGGGGGTTGGGGAAGCAGGGAGGGAAGGAGGAGAGGGTTCGGGAAGGCAGGGAAGAGAAGAAGTTGAGACGTGTGTCAGATCTCCCGGCATGTCTGGATGCTGCGCAAGAGCGTGGCAGCAGAGCATCCAGCATGGTGCGGTCGCCGGCTTGAGTGCCGCCGTACAGACTCACCGCTGCCACCGCCGCCTCAAATGCAGCCGCCCCTGGTGATGATAGGGAGGCAGGGGAAGAGAGGCAGAGGGGGGAAGAAGGGAGGAGAAATTGGGAGAATAACTGAAGCGGAATAAACTGAAGGATAGATTGATGGATGGCATTTGAGTGGAGGGCGCCTGAAGATGCGTTCTGATAGAGGAGATTCAAAGGGGACTCGAAGACTCAAAGGGGTTGGATTGCTGGTTTTGGACAAGAAGACCGGCCCTGCATACATGACACTGGAAAGGGTTCAGACCAATCGCCCTGCATACATGACGCTGGAAAGGGTTCAGACCAATCGCCCTGCATACATGAAGCTGGAAAGGGTTCGGACCAATCGCCCTGCATACATGAAGCTGGAAAGGGTTCAGACCAATCGCCCTGCATACATGAAGCTGGAAAGGGTTCAGACCAATCGCCCTGCATACATGAAGCTGGAAAGGGTTCAGACCAATCGCCCTGCATACATGAAGCTGGAAAGGGTTCAGACCAATCGCCCTGCATACATGAAGCTGGAAAGGGTTCAGACCAATCGCCCTGCATACATGAAGCTGGAAAGGGTTCAGACCAATCGCCCTGCATACATGAAGCTGGAAAGGGTTCAGACCAATCGCCCTGCATACATGAAGCTGAGAAGAGGAGAAATTGAAGGGTTCAGGTGCGAGAGGAGAAAGGGGAGGGAGAGGAGGGAGGGAGAGGACGAACAGTGGGCAGGGGTGGGCTGTGCTGCTGACCCTGCGAGCTCCCTCAGCTTCACGTATGCAGAGCGACAGAAGATGTCGTATCTGTATGGGAGATGCGCACAGGCAAGATAGACAGGTGTGGGAAGGTGTGGGTAGGAAGGGTGAACGAGTGCCTGCAAGTGCATCGCTGGGCCTGCGAGCTCCCTCAGCTTCACGTATGCAGAGCGACAGAAGATGTCGTATCTGTATGGGAGATGTGCACAGGCAAGAGATTGAGGAGTGGGCATGGGTGGGTATGGGTGGGCAGGGGTGGGCAGGAGTGAGCAGGAGGAGTGAGCCAGAGAAGTGAGCAGGGTAGGGCCGGAGAGGGTAGGAAACAGGTCGTGTAGAAAGAGGAGTGGAACAAAGAAGGGCAAAGCCGCACAGTTAGTAGATGATTTGTGCAACTCTTGAACAAGTTCTTTCATCATTCGCATGGTAGGACAAGCAGTAGGCAAGCAGAGGGCAAACAGTGATCGAAAGAGGGCAAATAACAACCGTCACATCCCCACCCTCCCTTCACCCCCTTTCCCCTTTCCCTTCCCACCCCTTTCCCTTCCCACTCACATCACTCCGCTTGTTCCCCCCTTGGAGCAGCACACCTTGCGCCCATCTCCCTCACTGTCACCAGCACATGGCAGTGCAAGCAAGCAGTGCCAGCACATGGCAGTGCAAGCAAGCAGTGCCAGCACATTTTTCCCCCACCCCCCCCGCTACTCACATCACTCCGCTTGTTCCCCCCATGGAGCACCACACCCTCGCGCAGATCTCCCTCTCTTCTCTCACATCAACCCACTCGTCCCCAAGTCATGCCAGAAGCACACCTCTTTTTCTCCTCCCACCAGCCTCACACACACCACACACACTCACATCACTCCACTCGTCCCTCCCATGGAGCAGCGCACACTCGCGCATATGTCCCTCACTGTCACCGGGACATGGCAGCACAAGCAACCACATTCAAATACCTCCCCTCCTTCACACCACACCCTCGCACACTCACATCACTCCACTCGTCCCTCCCATGGAGCACCGCACACTCGCGCCCATCTCCCTAATTGTCGCTGGTGCATCATTTAGGGGGTATCTGGGGCGCAAGGGGAGGGGGAGGGAACAAATGAGGAGGACAAAAGAGGACAGGGAGTCGGGGTTGCAGAGTGGGGGGGCAGGAGCCAGGAGGTCCGTTAGTGGGTAGGAAGACAGAAGGGTGAAGGGCGACAGAGAAGGGGAGAGAGGACGAGCAAAGGCGGCGTGAGTGAGACAAGGCAAAGGCAGAGAAGGAACAAAGGCGGCGTGGGGAGACAGGCGTACAGACCTTGAGGCGAGAGCTTCAAGAACTGCCTTGGCCCCACGGCTCATCTGAACGCAAGGGGGGGATGGGATGGGACAGGCAAGGTGGGGTGGAGATAGGAGGGGAAGGGGTGGGGGAAAGGTGGATGGGGTGAGCAAGCGAGGATGTGGAAGGTAGGTGCCAGCCTGGCCTGGCAGCAATGAGCGCATGAGAAGAAGAGGTTGAAGAGGGCATGTGGGGCTGCCTTGAGGTTCGATCCATCAGATATGTTGGTTTGAGTTTTGAGAATTCTCAAAAGTCAAACCAACACAGCCTGGTCTGGCAGCAATGCGCGCGTGAGAAGAAGAGGTAGAAGAGGGCATGTGGGGCTGCCTTGAGGTTCGATCCATCAGATATGTTGGTTTGAGTTTTGAGAAGTCTCAAAAGTCAAACCAACGCAGCCTGGCCTGGCAGCAATGAGCGCGTGAGAAGAAGAGGTAGAAGAGGGCATGTGGGGCTGCCTTGAGGCTAAGTGGGAATAAACGCAAAAACCCGTTTGCGTTTAGCGTGTATACGCAAAACGCTAAACGCTATCGAATACGCTATACGCTCACCATTTTTTTTTGGGGCAGCCCGGCCAGAAAATTTCAACCTATACGGTTCGCTTCGGAATTGCACGACGAAGACATTGGCGCGGTCAGATGGCACGCCCGCGCTGTGTGCTAGCGTTGACGTGGGTTGAAAGTTCGTGTCGCAAATGGAAAGTCACGTTCGTCGAGTCGCGCCTGCACGTTCCCTCACATTTTGGTGTTCACTATCAGTACCGCATTCAAACCCTTCGCAACCAACACCTCTCCAATTTTTGTTGGCCATCTTCCCACTCCCACAATCAACTCGCCATAAAACAAGCACACCCCCAACATCCAACTCATTAGGTCTTCTCTCGCTACCAGCAGAGCACTAGGCATTCCCTAGCGCATGGTGCCTATGTCGACGACTACTACCTCTCCTCTAACGCCACCGTCAGTTAACACCGTTGGCAGTTCGCAAACTCTTCTAACCGAGGCACGGGAGTATCTCCCCGACGTTGACCATGCCGTCTTCAAGCACTTCCGCATCATCAAGAGGGTCGAGGGAAAAGCTCAGCAGTACGAGTGCAAGTTCTGCAGCAACGTATACACTAGTGCTGCCATCCGATGCGCAAGAAAGAGAGAAGCGGACGAGGCACTTGCGCTTGCTTGGGCCGCCCTCCATATCCCCGAGCGCCACATTGACCATCCTCTGATGGTCAATGCATTGAACCTCGTCAAGCGCGTCGGCATCGACTACGTCCCTCCCAAGAGGAGATACATCGGCGGTGCTGGCCTTCTCTCGTGTCGCAACGGAATCGAGCAGGGTTTGGTGGGCATTAAGGCGAGCTGGAAGAGGACGGGCGTGACGGTTTCGTCCAACATGATGACAGACCGCAACGGCAGGCCGCAGGCCAACGTGCTTCTCGTAAACGATTCTGGCGCCGTCTTCACCGACTGTATTGACTGCAACATGGAGAGGAAAACCGGAGAATACGTGGCGGGGATTCTTAGGCCCGTGGTGGAGGAAGTGGGTCCAGAAAACGTTGTTGCGTTCTGCATGGACGGGGGGTCGCACTATGCGGTGGCGGTGAAGCAACTCTTACAGGAGTGGCCGCACATTCAGGATGTGCCGTGCGCCACTCACGTATTGGATCTTCTCATGGAAGATGTCGGGAAGATGGGATGGGCTAAGCTGGTGGTCGACAAGGAAGGGAGATATCTAGCTTCGTCCGCAACCACCACTGGACCCGAGGGTACCTGCGGAAGCCGGAATTGGTGGAGGGGAAGGTTCTGCAGGCGCTGAAGCCGGCTGGAACCCGATTCGGGACCAACTACATAGCCATATCCCGACTATGTGCGATGCGCGGCGGCCTTACCAACATGGTGACGAGCGAGGGTTGGAAGGAGTAGGCGGTAGGGGACCGGAAGAAATCGTGTGACGGGTTCAGTGCGCTGATCCATGATGCCGCCTGGTGGAAGACGGCCGAGTTCTTCGTCGCACTGCTGAAGCTGCCTTTTAAGGTGATGAGGCAGACGGACGGGCATGCCGTGGGGATGATGGGGAGGCTGTACAATTTGATGCTGCATTTGACTGAGGACGTGGGGGGCTTACTCGATGCGGACGAGGAGCAGCTGAGCGACAGGGACAAGGACAAGATCCGCCGCATCCTCAGAGACCGCTGGGACGGCAGCCTCGCATGCGCCATGCATGTCGCTGGCCGCATCCTCAACCCCGCGAATCAGGAGGAAGATATTTTCGGCGCTGATCCCGAGTGCACGAAAGTCTTCAAGGCGTTCATCAGCCAGCAGGCCGAGTTCCTTGCGAGCCGCGGGGATGGGGGGGATGACGCGTGCGACATCTTGCTTGAGCTGGGGGACGGGTTGAGGACGTTCCTTAACATGAAGGGTTCTTTTGGGATGCCGAAAGCCGTGGCACAGAGGAAGCTAGTGAAAGAGGTAAAGTATAGCATGGTGAAGTGGTGGCAGTGGAATGGGACTAATGCCCCTCGAGTGGCGGGGCTCGTGGTACGGGTGCTGTCTCAGGCCGTGTCAGCCTCACCTTGTGAGTGTGGATGGTCCTCGTGGGATGCCGTCCACACCGCACGTCGCAACAGGCTCGGATCCGCCAATTGCAGGGACTTGGTCTATGTTGCGCACAACTGGAATGTTGTGCGCAACTGGCACACGCGCGTTGATGTCTTGCCACATGTGGCGCCCGGGATTGGAGCGGAGCCTCCAATCCCGACGGGATACAATGGGCTGGAAGACGAGACGAAGGGAGAGGATGAGGAGGAAGGCGAAGACGACATCTTCGAAGACGAGTACGCTAACTAGAGGGGGCAAATGTGGCTTGCTGTGGGCGGCTAGTCCTAAGGAGTAGTAGTACGTAGCTTGTCTTAGAGAGAAGTGATGGTCCTGATGGAGTAGTGATGATAGTAGTGATGGTAAGTGATGATGGTAAGTGATGATAGTGATGATAGTAGTGATGACAGTAGTTGTGTAGGCCGTGGTATATGTGTAATGTGGAAAAAAAAAATCTCTGAAACTTCAGGCCCCATACCCCACCCCCATACCCCCCCCCCCCCCGCGCGCCTTTTTTTTACCCTGCCCGGGAAGTTTTTTTTCTGCCTGAAAAAACGTATTTCCAAACCCGTCCCTACAGCGTATAGCGTATATAAGAGTGCGTATATACGATAAGCGTATATAAGCAATAAGCATATATTCCCACTAAGCCTTGAGGTTCGATCCATCAGAGCAGACTACCTGGAATGGAAGCAGGGAGGCCAACGTTGAGCGATGGGCCAACTCAACAACAAGGCCCCTCCCCAAGAGCTCAAAGTTCCCCCTCCGAAGCCTCTCCCTTATTCCGTGCTGCCGCAATTCCCATCGCCAATCTTAGCATCCCATGCATTCAGGTCAGCTGCCAGAGCCAGCACCATTGACTCGACCCATGTGCATATGATTCAACTACTGGTGAGTCAATAGCAAGACCCCTCACTCAATCCCCTCCCACCGCACCGTGCTGCCACAGTTCCCATCGCCAATCTTAGCATCCCATGCATTCAGGTCGGCTGCCACTGCCAGCACGGCCTGAGGGCGGTGCAGGCAGTTTTTGAGAATTCTCAAAAACTCACTGCCAGCACGGCCTGAGGGCGGTGCAGACAGTTTTTTGAAATTCTCAAAAACTCAGTGCCAGCACGGCCTGAGGGCAGTGCAGCAGGCAGGTCTGGCTGGCGCCAGAGCCGGCATGGCACCCCCCTCTGCTTCATTGAAGGCTATTACACTCGCATAGAGCCCTCCCTGTTTCCCTCCTAAAACAAGTTTCTCCCATTCCTCTCACCGTGCTGCCGCAGTCCCCATCGCCAATCTTGGCATCCCATGCATTCAGGTCTGCTGCCAGAGCCAGCACGGCCTGGGCGCCCCCTCGGATGCACCGCTCCAAGCACCGCCCCTCCTCTGTCAACTCCTTGGGGCGCTCACATGCTGATGCCTGGGGGGAGCGGGAGGTGTGGAGGCACGCGCGCGTGGGACACAGGGGAGTGGAGCACAGGTGTTCGACTGCATTCAAATCAAGATTGCCACTGCTGCCAGCACGGCCTGCGCGCCCCTTCGGATGCACTGCTCCAAGCACCGCCCCTCCTCTGTCAACTCCTTTGGACGCGCACATGCTGATGCCTGGGGGGTGAGGTGAGGTGTGGGGGCATGGGGGTTATGGGTGAGAGGTGTGTCATCCCACGCATTCAAGTCTACTGCCAGAGCCAGCACGGCCTGGGCACCCCCTCGGATGCACCGCTCCAGGCACCGCCCCTCCTCTGTCAACTCCTTGGGGCGCTCACATGCTGATGCCTGGGGGTTGCGAGGGGGTTTTGGGAGCATGGGGGTTATGGGGGAGAGGTGTGTCATTCCATGCACTCAAGCACGGCCTGAGCGCCCCCTCGGATGCACCGCTCCAGGCACCGCCCCTCCTCTGTTGATTCCTTTTGGACGCTCACATGCTGATGCCTCCGGGGTGGGGGGAGGGGCGTCGGTGCGGGGGCATGTGGGCACAGCGGAGTGGGGAGTGGGTGGGGCACACGTGTTCTATAGCAATCATTCCGAGCTTGCCGTTACTGCCAGAGCCAGAAGAGCCTGAGCCCCCCCTCAAATTGAGGTGACTTTTGAGTCGACTCAAAAGTCACATCATTCCGAGCTTGCCGTTACTGCCAGAGCCAGAACAGCCTGAGCGCCCCCCCTCAAATGCGCCTCCCCAGGCACCGCCCGCCGCTCCTCTGTTGACTGGGGGGGTGTTGGAGGGTTGTGGGGGGTGCGGAAGGGGTGGGGCACGGGGTATGTGCGATGTGGGCGGCATGTGAGGCATAAGAGTGTGGGGTGGTAGTAAGACGGTGGGATCACAAGTGCATTGGGAGGAGAGGGAGGGGGAAGGGGGGGGGGGGGGGGGGGGAAGCGGGATGGATGGCGGCATGGGGAGCATGGAGGTAGTACTGAAGGTACGGGGGGCATCGCAGTCGTTTGTGAGACGTCTCAAAGCACTTGTTCATAGCAGAAGGCCAGGATGGATGGAGGGAAACGTACAGGTTGAGAGCCTGGTGGGGCTGGGGGGAGTGGCACTGGCACCTTGGTAGCTGGACGGGCACCTGGAGGAGGGGAAGGGGGGAATGGTGAGAGAGATAGTGAGTGGAGAGAGAAAGAAGGGTGTCTTGAGAAGGGTGGCTTACACACTCCCATGCACTCCCTCACACCCTCTCTCACGCAAATGTATATGGAGCTTGGGAATTTGCGCACTCTCTCCTCTCTCATCCGAGTTATTTCCAGGAGTCTCAGAGTCTCAAACCCCTTCTTGGTGTGAAGAGGAATGTATAGGCCGGCGCATTCAACTCAGGCATGCGTGGGAGCCCACCTTGGCAGGCGTTGGGCCATGCAGGGGCGAGGGTGGGGGCGTCTAGTCGCTGCAGCACTTGATCGTCCACCTTGAGCACTGAGAGGGAGAGGCCTGTGGCAGGGACAGAGGCAATCAACAGAAGAAAAAATGCAAGAAAACAAACATAGGGGTGCAGGTTGGGTTGGGGCGTCTAGCCTCTGCAGCACTTGATCGTCCACCTTAAGCACTGAGAGGGAGAGGCCTGTGGGAGAGGCGCAAGAAGAACAAAAGAACAAGCATACTGGACAGGGTTGACAGAAGAGTCAAAGCGAGTCAACCAAAGTCAAACCAAGTCAGCGAATATGAAGGAAGGCTTTTCAGGTGCCTGTGTGTCTGCGGCAGAGCCTGTCACCTGACAGCACCTGACACCAACTGACACCACCTGACACCACCTGACAGCATCAGACACCACCTGACAGCACCTGACATGTCGAGGGAAGTCATGAAATGGCCTGCATACACTCGCTCCACTGCCAGCCCATGCTCCACCTTCCATGGTGCATGCAAGCGCAAGGTGTGCAGAGGGATGCAGAGGGTTGCAGAGGGTTGCAGAGGGGTGCAGTGGGGTACAGAGCAGTGAAGAGGTGTACATGGGCGTGATTATCGGTGTAGATGGGTGCAGAGACATGCTGTGCAGGCAGACGCGGACAGAGAGAGTTACATACAGAGTGTCAGAGTGAGTGAGTGGTAGCGGCGCTTTTGAGAATTCTCAAAAATCACTCGTAAGTGAGTGGTAGCGGCGCTTATGAGAATTCTCAAAAATCGCTCGTAAGTGAGAGGTAGCGGCACTGTTTGCAGGAGCTGTCAATAGCGGACAGGTGGGCTGTGGAGGCCTTACTTCCATCAACTCGTGTTCTAGGACAACGAGTGTTGCGCTACAGCCTTGCCTGCTTCTGACGCACCTAAAAAGATCATCCTCACCTGTAGTTGCGCTACAGCCTTGCCGGCCGCAATCATGACCTCCATGGCTGGTGTTGCGCCCAGGCTTGGGGAGAAAGGGGAGGGAGCACGAGGGGAAGGGAGAGGGGGGGGTGGGGGTGGGGGGATCGGAACGTTGGGTTGGAGAAAAGGGGAGGTGGCTGTGCTACAGCCTTGCTTGCCGCAACCATAACCTCCATGGTTGATATTACCCAGGCTGGGGGGATGGTGGTGAGGGGGGAGAGGATGGGGTGGGGGTGGGGGAGAGGTGGGGAGGTGGGGGGAAAGCTGTGGCACAGCCTTGCCTGCTGCAATAGCTGGCGTTGCGCCCAGGCTGGGGGAATGGGGGAGGGGAGGGCGGGGGACAGGACGGGGGAGGTGGAGAGAAGAGGGAGCGGAGGAAATGGGGACACCAGAGAGAGTACACTTGGCTGAAGCAGCGCTGCGCTCAGACTAGAGGGGGGGGAAATGGGGGAACACAAGCGAGGACGCGATGCGGCAATCATGAACAGACACAGCTGTTCATGAATAAACACAACTGTTCATGAACAAACACAACTGTTCATGAACAAACATACATGTTCATGAACAAACATGCCTGTTCACCATGAGAGCTGCAGGGATTTTTTGAAAATCTCTAAAACACACCTGTTCACCATACCTGTTCACCATGAGAGCTACTCTGCTGCCGAGCTTGAGAGGCATGTAGCCCGTGTCCTGAGAGCACAAGGGGGGAAAGGGATTGGGATGGGAAGAAATGGGAGGGAAGGGAATGGGAGGGAGAGTGAGGAACGGGAGCGGGAGGAACGGGAGCGAGGGGATGGAAGGGGAGAAAGAGGAGAGAAGGGGCTGGATGACAATCGTTGAGACGTCTCAAACGAAGGGGCTGGATGACAATTGCGAGAGTATGCGCCGCTGATGCAGCTAGCTAGCTAGCTGTACGCTCATGTTAAAGCCCGACTCACGGGGTTGTTGATGGCATTTAAAGCACGGCTCACGGGGTTGTTGATGGTTTAAAGCCTGACTCACGGGGTTGTTGATGGTTTAAAGCCCGACCCACGGGGTTGTTGATGGCATTTAAAGCCCGACTCACGGGGTTGTTGATGGTTTTGAGCATGTGAGAAACGACGACATCAACCGGCTGCATGTCCACCACTGCTGCTCCTGGCTCCCCGTGCTGCATGCATACATGCATGGGTGGGAGATGCGTGCTACATGAGGAGTGCATGGTATGGTAAATAAACTCACGGATGGAGGCTACATCCAGACAGTCTTCATGGTAGCCGCATTCACTCACAATGCCCAGCCCAGCACGATGCCATCCCCTCCCTCCACTCACACTGCCCTGCCCCATGCCTCCCCACTCACACTGCCCTGCCCCATGCCTCCCCACTCACACTGCCCGACCCCATCAATCACCCCATGCCCCACCCACTCACAATGCCCAGCCCGATGCCCAGCTCCATTTTGGAGGCAGGGAGTCGATCAGAAGGGAAGCCGCCTGGCACGGTGCACACAGAAAGACCCACCCCCATGGTGCCCACCAGGCCTGCCAGATGCCGGGAGTCCGGGACCCATGTCCGCCCCAACACTCACCCCCGCCAACTCGCCCCCACTCACAATGCCCAACCCCAGTTCCATTTTGGAGGCAGGGAGTCGATCAGAAGGGAAGCCGCCCGGCACAGTGCACACAGAGAGGCCCACCCCCATGGTGCCCACCAGGCCTGCCGGGTGAATGCAGCAGTGCAGGGAGCAGCAGGGGAGGAAGGAAGGGGAAGGGTGGGGAGTTGAGCGTGGTGGAAGGGCGAGGGCGGCCGAGCAGATGCAGGGAGTTGATCAGAGGGGGGAACCCCCCGGCACGGTGCACACAGAGAGGAGAAACCCACCCCCATGGTGCCCACCAGGCCTGCAGTACGGGCGAAACCAGCAGTGCAAGAAGGAGCGGGGAGGGCGTTTGAGGTGGTGTGAGAGACAAACGCCGAGGAAATCCAGTGCAGGGAGAAAAAGGAAGGAAGAAAGGAAGAAAAAAAACAGCAGCAACAAGTTTTTAGAAACCAGCATCATCCTATGTCTGACCCCAGTGAATGCTAATCCAGTCCCCACCTGCCACCTGGCGAGCCTCTGCTGCCACGTCGGCCAGTGACTTGCCCTCCTCTGCAGCTGCCCCTGCCACCTGCAGTGGGTGTGGGAGGGAGGGAAGGGACGGCAGGTGGGGAATGGAGAGTTGGAGACAAGGTCAGGTCCCATCTGGACTCGGGGGGGGAGATCACGTGTGCTGGGGAAACAACTTGGTATATAGGGGAAGAAGACTGATCTTTGTGTGAAGAACCTTGTTTCTTCTAAGACCTTCCCGGCGAGGCCTCTTCTTTTGCAGGTCGTTGTTTAGAATCCTCAAAGAAGAAGCCGAACACATCCCACACACCCACCCACCTTGTGCACAAAGACCTTCCCGGCGAGGCCTCTTCTTTTGCAGGTCGTTCTTTAGAATCCTCAAAGAAGAAGCCGAACACATCCCACACACCCACCCACCTTGTGCACAAAGACCTTCCCGGCGAGGCCTCTTCTTTTGCAGGTCGTTCTTTAGAATCCTCAAAGAAGAAGCCGAACACATCCCACACACCCACCCACCTTGTGCACAAAGACCTTCCCGGCGAGGCCTCTTCTTTTGCAGGTCGTTGTTTAGAATCCTCAAAGAAGAAGCCGAACACATCCCACACACCCACCCACCTTGTGAACAAAGACCGTCCCAGCGAGGCCTCTTCTCCCAGCAATCCCACGAGGCGGCGGCAGCGCACAGTCATCCCCCACCACCACCATCTGAGCAAGAGAGGCAAGCAAGAGAAGCAAGCAACAGAGGCAAGCATCTGAGCACGAGGAGGAAGGGGTAGAACGAGCAGGAAGAAATGTAACAACCGGCAGCCCATGCATCTTAAACTCCTGGAGAAAGTGGCATGCATGCATCACGGGAAGTCTCGAGAACAGGGAGCAAAGCAGCTGACTGACCGACTGACTCACATCAACTTTAAAGCCCTCCTCTTTGGCTTGCTCTGCTGCCAATCCGAAGTTGAGTCTATCGCCTGTGTAACTCTGGAAGGAAGGGGGATTCAGAACAGAGATGTAGAAAAGTATCCATTTTAACTCAAGAGCCAGCCGACCCACAACGGAAGAGTGTCGGAGAAACAGCTCTGCTCGTCATCTGCCTGCATTCAGATTCTCTTCTTCTTCTCTGTTCCTTCTCTGCGTTCCTCCCTGTCAGCCCTGGTGTGGTCATCAGCCATGTGAGGGGCTGATGATCAGTGACTAGGGTGAATTCTCGGCCCTGCAGGTATACCCGGGAATGCCCGACCGCCCACACTGCCGCCAGCCCCTCCCCGATGTATGAGCTGTACTGGGCTTCCGCTGGGTTGCAGCTCCTGCTGGCGTAGGCCACCACCTTCTCCACTCCCTCCACCTCCTGGCACAGTATTGCCCCCATCCCTTGGCTGCTCCAGTCGGTGTACAAGATGAAGGGCTGGTCTGCTGCTGGCAGCCGCAGTACTATCGCTGTCTTTACGGCTGTCATGAGGTCTTGCAGCGCTTCTCTCTGCTTCTCTCCCCACTCCCATGCCTTGTCTTCGCGCAGCATCCCATTCAGCACCGTCGCTCGCTTACTGAAGTTCGGCACGAAGCGCCTGTAGTAGCTGAGGAAGCCCAAGACCGCACGCAGTCCTGATTTGTCTCGTGGTTCCCTTAGCCTGTCCAGCACTTGCACCTTTGCTTGCTGGATCCCAATCTGCCCCCCTGTGACCTCGTACCCCAGGTACTGCACTGTCCGCTCCCCCCACTTGCATTTGTTCGGATGGCAAGTGAGCCCTGCCCCTTCTATGGCCGTTGGTGTCTTCTCCACATCCTCCAGGTGCTGCTGCTCGGTCAAGCTGAAGATCACGACATCATCGATATAGCACGCCGCGTGTTCTATTCCCCGCAGCACCGCGTCCATAACTCTCTGGAACACTGCCGAGGCGTTCCTCAGACCGAAGGGCATATACAGCCACTCGTACAGCCCATCCGGCCCGTGGAAGGCCGTTTTCTTCACGTCCTCCTCTCTGATCTTGATTTGATTGAACCCCTGTCGCAGGTCCAGCGTTGTGAAGAACACCCCGTCAGCCAACTTGTCAAAGAGCTCTTCTGCCATCGGCATGGGGTATCTATCTGGCACTGTGATTTTGTTAAGATCCCTGTAATCCCCGCACATCCTTCTGCTCAGCACCTCGCCTGTCAAGTCCTTTCGGGCTGCCACCACGGTCGGGGTGGCGTACTCAGACTCCGACCTCCTAATCAGTCCGGCTTCCAGCAACTCCTTTATCTTTTCCCTGCAGATCGCCTCATCTCCTGGTGGCATCTTCCTCCTGCGGTGGTACACCGGCTCGTCACTATTCAGCTTCAACGCCATCTCCTTGATCTTGCACTTCCCCAGCTCCCGCAGGGTGAAGGCAAAGCCCTTCCTGTGCTTGGCCAGTAGTGCCCGCATTGCTGCCCTCCCTTCTTCGCTCATGCTCTCACCTATCATCCACTCTGGCTCCTGTTTCTGCTGGCAGGTCCACACCCCTTGCCTAACTGTCGCCACTGTGTTTTCTCCCTCTTTCAGTCCCCAGTGCAGCACTGTCTCTCTCCACATCCGCTGCACCAACCACCTCAGCATGTACCCATCCATTGCATTCCCCATTGCCCGCCTCTGTTCCTGTTCACTCACACCAGGTGCTGCGGTCGCGTTCTCCTTGTACCCCATGGCAAGCTCCCTCTCCAAGGCCGTGGGCTCCTCCCACCGTCCCTTCCTGTGGTCGAGCACCAATCCTGGGCCTGGCTGCTTCCCGTCCATCCGATATCCTGCTGCCCCCTCATAAGACACCAGCGTAGGTAGTGCTTGCCTCTCCTGCCCCACCTGGTTGCATGGATAGTGTCTACTGTAGCTCCTCTTACTCACTGGTCATGGTGTTCTTCCTGGCTCCAGTATGTCGCTCAACTTCCGCCCCCCTGCTCTCTGCACCCCTTCTATCTCCTTCTGCACTTCTTCCACTGGCACTACATTCTGCCAGTACATCCTGAGCCGGTGCGCGTATGCTCCCATCCGCGCCGCGTCACTACTCACCCCCTTACCCACCTGCTTGGTTACTCTCTCCCTGACCAGTCTCACTGATTCTCTTACATCCCCTTCAAGGTCCAAGTGCTTTAGCAGGTAAGCCAGTCTGCCCTGCCTTGCCTGCGCCCATTCCATGATTCTGAACAGATCCTCCATCAGTTGGGTCCTTGGGTCTTGTTCACCCTTGCCCTTCCCTGCCCATGATACCCCTTGGCATTCCCACCCGGCCACCAACAAGTCCACGTGCCCCCAGCTTGCCACCTCAGCTTCCGTAATGGCCCTTACGTCATGCACTCCTCTGCCCATTGCTGCCTTGATCACCTCTCCCTTCAACAGTTCCGGGAACTCCCTGTGCAACTCCCACGCATGCCGCTCCGCCATTTTTCTCACTTCTGCTGCCTTCTCCACGTAAATCCACTCCTTCACTGCAATCCCATTCCGCACCACTGCTGCCAGTCCCGCCCCTATTCCTCCGAACAGTTCCACTAGCCGGATGGGTTGCTGCCAATCGGTCTGTTGGCTAGGCTCGTCCATGAAGCGCATCCTGGGCTCTCTACCCTGTTCCTTGCCTGTCCTGCTCTCCTGTGCCCCTTGTTTCGCTGTCACCTCCTTCAGATCTGCCCTGTAAGCCCTTTTTGGCTCCGTCCTGACAAACTGCACAGGCAACTGTCCTAGTGGCTCACCCTTCCTCCACCACCTTGTCCTGAACTCCACTGTCTCCTTCCAAAAGCAGATGGTCATGCCCAATGCAAAAATCATTTCTGTGCCCACCAGGACGTCAAAATCTTCAGATTCTGAGATCCCGCACCTGATCCTAACCGGCGTTTCGTGTTTCTCCCCCTTTAGCACCGTCAGTTCTATTGGAGTCCTTGTACATGGCATCCACTTTGATTCTCCTCCCTCTGCCGTCATCACTAGCATCCCCTTCACCACATGCCTGTCCGGTGCCCACAGTCCCAGCTTCTCGGCCATCCCCTTCCCTAGTATCACGCTCTGCGCGCCAGTATCTATAATAGTCGTCTTGGCCTTCTCTCCTTCTACAGACAACGCGCCACCTTGGATCAACAGCACGGAAGTCTAGCAAACCAACCTCTCCTTGGGGTGACGTGCTACTGTACATCTCTCTTCCTTCTCTTCCGGTTTCTGTCCCCTCTCCCTTTCCTTTCTCACCTGCTCCTTCCGTGCATCCTTTCCTCCACTGCGCAGCCCCATCTCCTCCCTTCTTCTCCATTCCATATAGGCTGGCTGCTCCTCGTGTTCCATCTCGTCCTCTGCTCTTCCTGCCCAGCTCATGAACGCGGCTTCCTCATCCTGCTCTACATCTTCTTCTTTTTCTTCCTTCGCGTACATCCCCGCTTCTCCTTCGCGTCGTGGTCCCATTGCCTGCAACTGGGCTTGTAACCTGCTAATCTGCCTTTCCAGGTCTTCTGGCGTCTTTTTCGCTGCTCCCTCTCGTTGGTAACATTCTTTCGCTGCATGCCCTCCCTTCCCACAGATTTCACACTTCGGCGCTGTTGGGCACTCCCGTCGCCGATGCCCTGGTTTGCCACAAGAGTCACAGTTCTTGCAGTCTCTGCGTAAGTGTCCCGGCTGCCCGCACCTATGGCACGTCCGAGTGTCAGGCCTGGTCTCCCCTCTTCCTGCAGCCATGTCCCTCTCTTCCGGTATCATGGCTGCCGCCCACGTAGGCCCCCTGCCTCGTTCTGCTGCTCGAGGCCTGTATGCCTCATACTTCCTCTGTGCCAGTTCCATCTTCTCTGCCATTTCAAACACCTCCTCTAGTGTGGCGTCAGCCCCCATCTCGTACACTTTCATCCGCAGCCCGCTCCCTAAAGTGCCCTCCAGCCCGTCCAGGAACTTGCTCACGAGCAGGCCCATGTCTGCGCAACTCACATCCTCCGCCAGGTTGACCAGCCGGTTGTAGTAGGTGAGTAGTGACTCGCCCAGCCCCTTCCTGAAATCTTGGAACTCCCTAATCTTCTCTGCAGTATGGCCTGGGAACTGCCGCTTCAGCCGCCTCAGGAATTCTTCCGTTGGATCCTCCCCATACCTTCCTGCCCTCTTCAGTAGCTCATCCATCTTCATCCTATACAATGTCTCTGCCTCTCCTTCCAGTGTGTTGGGCACGCTCAGAAAGAAGTCCACTGCATCCATGCCGCTCCTCTCGCATCTGTACCGCACATTGCCCACTTGCATCAAATAATTCTTCAGTGTGGGCCCCAGACGCTGGTCCCCTGAGAAGCGTGCTGGCACTTCCACTCTCGTGACCATCACCGTGTTTCCCCTTCCTTCTCCCCAGGCCTCACTCGGCCCGCCTGCTGATCTGCCAGATGCTCCCCTCTCTCTCGCCCGCAGTATCCCCTCCCTTGCCTCTCTGGCTCGCTCTAGGCTGTGCATCAGCCCGCTGCCTCCCACTCTGCTGCCGCGTTGATCCTGTCCTCCTTCACCGGCACGTCTTTCGTCACGCTGCCGATACCGCCCAGGCGAGCGAGACCCAGCGCCCTGCCTTCCATCCCTGCTCCGCTGCCGCGACGGCGAGCGGTATCTGCCTACCTGGCTTTCCTCGTGTCGCTGACGCCAATCTGGCGAGCGCGCCTCACCTCCCCACCTCCCTCCATGGTACCGTCGCGTGTCAGGCGAGCGATAGCCACCTTCGCGTCTCCCATCACGATAGTGATGCGGATCTGGTGAGCGCGAGCCCCCCTTGCTCCTCCCGCCGTGATACCTCTGCGGATCTGGCGAGTGCGCACTGCCTCCGCGTTCTCCGTCACGGCGCTGTCGCGGATCTGGCGAGCGGTAACTGCTTCCGCGCCTCTCCTCATGCAGCGGCCGCGGATCAGGCGAGCGGTAGCCGCCTTCGCACCTCTCGTCACGCTGCGGCCGCGGATCTGGCGAGCGCGCGCCGCCAGCGTGCCCCCCATCGCGATGCTGTCGCTGGCCTGATGCGAGCGCGCCATCGCCGCGCCCCACGTCACGGTGCTGCCGCAGATCGGACACGCGCCCCTCGCCTCCGCGTTTCTTGTCACGGTGCTGACGCGGATTCGGTGAGCGCGGGCCACTGCTACGCCTCCCGCCGTCGTTCTTCTCTTCGCCACGCGGCTGGTTCCGCGCACCATTCGTCCCGTCCGCTTTCGCCGCGCTTGGCTCCGCCGCCGCGCCCGCCTGCGTCGAATCGGCCTCCTTGACTCCAGCGGGCATTTCGCGCTGCTCGCCTGCGCCTTCTTCGTGGGCTTCGTCATCGCCCTTCGCCTCGCCTTCGCGATTCGTTTCCTGCGCCTTATTCGCCGTGTCGGCCTCGTCCTCTCCGTCAACATCGAGGTCTCCCTGCCGACCAGAGAAAAATTCCTCCAGGCCACGCCCGCGACTTCGATCTTCGCGACGGCGGTAACCCTCTTCCGGCGAGCGATACGCTCCCGTGTCCTGGCGATGCCCATGATCGCCACCAGCTCCGTGTCGTGCATCCGTCCGCCACGGGTCACTTCCCATCCTGACGGACTCGAATCCGCCTCTTCCTTCTCGCTCTGCACCTTCTCCTCGGCGATCTGGCGCGAGAGGGACCAGATCTGCGCGAAAGGCCGGCCTCCGCGGCGAGCGCTCAGGCCTCCGCGGCGAGCGCTCAGGCCTCCGCGGTGACCTCTCCAACGACCGCCCGCGCTCACGTGAGCGTTCGCGCCGTGAGCGATCATCCTCACGGCGACCATCGTTCCTGCCATAACGCAGTTCGTACACATCCATGCTTGCACACGCACCTTTCCGGTTGCTATAAAAGTTATGTAACTCTCACCTCAAGGGTCCTCCCTGAGTGGTGTGCCACCTGTCTGCACAGCTGAGGCAACAATAGTCCACTATACGAAAGGATAGCAACCGGAAAGCATCAGGGCTGTGTGAGCGAGTGACTTTACCTGGCCTGGGCTCGAACCGTGCATTTCTCAATGTGCGGCTCGAGCCTGGGTTGGTTCAATCACATTGGTCGCGTGGATTTCACCCTTGGTGCTCTCCTACCAACCTCGCGTCAACTTCTCTGGTTCCCCAACTACCTACCTTCGAATATTCATACACATCATTACTACACCCGAACCACACCAGAACTACACCTCAATCTAACTGGCACCTTATATGCACAACCGTGCATATTCGGTGACAAGAGTCCAAGACGTAACTCTGGGGGCCAGGAAAGTAACGGGGGCAATGGATGCTTCAGAGGAAATCAAATTTGCAGTTTGGAGGTTGTACAAAAACACGAAAAGGAGCTGGCAACACTCGACTGGAAACGGGTGGACCATTGTCAATGATCATGACTCATGAAGAGAAAGCACATAACCTCTCTGGCAATTTCCTGTTACAGCAGGAGTCAAGAAAACCCACCTTGACTATCAAGAGGCAGCCAGCAGGACCAGTCACTGCCCGAATGGCCTGCGAAAGAAGAAAACACCAGCACAGATACAGGCAGAGGCATTTTTGTTTATACAGATACAAGAATCGAGCACAGGTGTGTGTTCTTGGATTGGTGCATCACAAGCAGGAGGAAGGGTGCGACTTTTGAGTCGACTCGAAAGTCAAATCGAGCACAGGTGTGTGTTCTTGAACTGGTGCATGACAAGCAGGAGGAGGGGTGCGCGGGGATGTGCTTAGGGGCATGTTGGGAAGGAGGGAGGAAGGGGTGGGTGGGAGGGAGTGGGGAGGCGGGGGGACCAACTCTGTCTTGATTCTGCCTTGTTATTCGCCGCACAATTGCGATTTTATATTGGTGGCCTGCAGAAGTAGGCACAGCACTGGCGTGGCCTGGCCTGGCCAGACCTGACTGCAGAAGCAAGCACGCACTATCCTCCTGCAGAAGAAAGGAACCACCCTACATCGTACCGTACCGTACAGTACCGTACAGTACCATGAGGACAGCGTTGACTGAAGGCGAGGCGAAGACATCCCCGCACACGGCAGCTGTGAGCATGCCCTTCCCCACGAACCCTGCATGCGCTGGCTCGTGCCCGCTCCCGCCGCCCGATATGATTGCCACCTTCCTGTACGTCCCTCTGCTGACGTCAGCTCGCAGCACCACTTTCACCTGCGGTGATTTCGCCGGAAACATTTCATGATTTTCTGCAGCTGACAATTGGCTGGAAATTTGTAAGTGCTCTCGCCTTGTATGGCTACAGTTTTGATGCATTCCCTGCTGCTAGAGTGGGAGAATACGTTGGTTGAAGAGTTCGCGTAAATAATGTTGCATGATCAAATTTGAGAAACAAGGATGGTAAAAGGAAAAAGATGTTGTTGCACAACAATTGGGCGGACCTCACGTTACGAAAGCCACTCCGACAAACATTTCAGGAAGCCATCCGGGACGCCACCTGGTGGGCCATTCAGGAAGCCATTTAGGTCCTGATAGTTATTTTAATTCTTGAATTCTCTTAAACCCCTACAACTTTGAGGCGCCTGAGAGGAGGAACTCACGTCAGGGAAGCCATCGAGGTACTGCAGGTTGGGGTAGGTCTCCACCAAGCCCTCGATCATCTCGAGGACAACATCTGCGCGGCATTTACACCCAAAATTGGGGATGTTCTTGATAGTCTAGACCCATGAACATGCAAGGCGGAAACGAACTCGGAAATTGCAGCTGAGGTTGAATGTTCTTCGACGACTCACAGCGGGTCTTATTCGCAATCATTACGAGCTTCAGGGCGTTTTACACCCATAAAAGAACACGGATGTCATAACACATACTGGACCTACGCCTGAAATCCTGCCGCTTTGATGCAATTCGCAAAGCCGGAATTGATTGCGTAAGCGAGACGAGACGGCATGGAGCTAATGCTTCGCACCTGACGGGTCATTTATGAGCTTCTTCGACCCTGACATTCTTGTCGTGCGCAAACGCAGGAGCAGGACTTGCACGAAATCGTTAGAGCACGCGTCAATCAATCCTTCCTACAATTAGGGATTTTAATGTAGCTCCAAGAAAGGTAAATGGTCGCGTCTCTTGCGCTGGAAGGACGCTAGTCAGATACCTGAATGCAATTTTGCAATTCGGTGGTCACGGAGGGCGCGAACCAGCTAGCACGTTGGTTGGGACACTTGGGACACACCAAGGAGCTTGGCGGGTACACCTGTAATATGGTCGGTTCGGTTAGGACGTGGGCCCAATCGACTTTGATCGGTTCGGATCTGATCGGGTTGGATTGGCTCGAATTGCTTGCGATCGTTTTTCTCGCGCCGCTCGATCAGAATTGATTTTCCTCGAGTATTCTGCGCTCTTGCATAACAACCGGTGGCCCATTACCTGGTAGTTGCACCCCAACTTTGGCGAGATGGGCGAATCCAAGTATCGTGGTAATGTCGCGAATATCGCACTGCGCACAGGGTCCGCTCCAGAACAGTTCTCGCTGGTCTGTATGTATGAGCGAGGATTTTCGAGACCTCATGGCGAGGCGTGTTACAAGTCGCTTACATCGCCCAGGGCCCCGATCACATGCAATCAAGTGATCGGGGCTGATTGTGTCTGATCGGGTCTGATCGGGCTGTTCGAGGCGGCTGATCGAGTTGGCGCGATCAGCTGATCGCGATCAGCTGATTGCCCCCGATTGCCTGAAATTGGCTTCCCGCCTTCCTCGAAGTTATTGATCTCCTCTGATCGCGCCGATCGAAGTCGATTGGGCCCACGTCCTTAGGGAACTTATGGGGCCTTAGGGCTGGTTCGGTCTTAGGTTTGGCAGTGAAATCTGGTGGGGATTATGCCAGGCTTGGTTCACGATTGGCGAGAGCTCGAGTGATCTTACTGGTTGGTTGATGACGATAGACTCCTCGCGAAAAAATAAAATTCAATGTCCTTCGTGTAGTATGAGTTGCGCTATACTCACAGACTACCGTGATTGTGAGGCATGACTGTTTCTACTTCTTATCATAATACCAACAATATAAGAAATCGAGTCTGTCAATGCAAGTACAGATTCTTCGCACTCTACACGTTGGTAGTGCTGGCTACTCACCTGGAAGACACAACTTGTCCACCAGGCCAGTGTGGCAGCCACCTGCGCTGTACCTTCAGGTCATAATTTTCCAGGCTGGCTCATAACGGCAATGGTAGCCCAGTGAGAAAAAAACAGCTCGAGTGTAAGAAAGAAACATCACTACAGTTGTCGAAGTAGATAGTGTACCCCCTATACACTTCAAAACCATTTTATTCCTATCCTGCCCAACAATTTGGATTTGCTGCGTCCATGTTGCAGCCACTTCGAAGTCTCTACTGGATCAACCACCCGGGCCAGCCAAACTGCCTTCATGGGAAATCTGCGATTCGAGCGAGGAAGGGGCGGGTGAGGATCCATGCAAATTCGTGACAGATTCACCGCCAACATCCATTCGTTTCATCTGCAAACCCTGGAGCCTGCTGCCAGGCCAACCAAGACACCTCCCATCCAGGGCTGTCGATTCAAGGGCATTTTTCCTTAATGCCCTGAACATTCTGGGCTATGTTTGGCGCAGCTTGACCATTTTAAGGGTTTGATTGGACTGGCACCCGTGCCAGTTAAGGGCATCGTTTAGCCCTTCCCCGGACGCGTTAAGTGCTCAATCTGGGCCGTCCCCTGAATCTAAGATATACTTTCGGTTCCGCAGAACCCCCCCCCCCAAAATCTTGCGGAACACCCCCTACCCTAAACCCCCCCCCCCTTCCATAAAAGTTGCACAATAGAGCGCTAGGTGGAGGATGTTTCACTCGATTTCTATCCAATCTAGTGTGTGTCTAGTGTCGAAGTCAGCAGATGAGTAGAAATGCAGTGGGTAGTGCAGCTGTAGTTGTAGTTGGAAGTTGTGACATACAGGTTGACTGGAGTAGTTAGCAGTGAAAAGTATGTGATATCTTGTCTAGGATGTTGTTTAGGTTAGTTAAGTACACAACACTTTGGAGCCCAGATTTCAAGTTTACACTTCGGCCTGCACCCGTGACCGTTAAGGGCAAAAATTTGGTCACCTCCCTGAAAATCAGGGTCAGAATTTCAGCAGCTGAGGGCCTCAAGTTCTGCCCCCAGGGATATCGACAGCCCTGCTCCCATCCAGACGTCATGGATGTTGTACGGAACTCCCATGCCCGTTGTCGATTCATCCTTCACTCATTCGTTTCAAC